CCTATTCATTAATATTGTTAATTAAATTGATTATTACAGCATATAAAATATAACCCTATTACATATTTTAATAGATCATTAGCACAATATTAATTATTAATATTAATTATTAATATTAAATATTACTGTTATAATTTAAGTACTATTGTTAATTAAATTTATTATTATGTCATATAAAATATAATTCTATTACATGTTTTAATCACTATATCATTAATAAAATAGAATTATTAATTATTATTATCATTATTGATTTCATTGATTAATAAAGCACATTTAATACAATTATTATTCCATAAGAATTCCCAAATAACCCCGAAATTCCGTGTTTTCACGGGAGAGAGGGATAAACAGAAAACCCTTGGCGGCTTTTGGATCTGTATTTTATTGATTTTTGGGAATAATTCCATAATTCCACAGTTCCACGGGCTGAAAATTCCCTTTTTTTCCCTTCATTCCAGAGAAAGCCGCGGACGACGACGTCCAGAAATCCGACATCTCCTCCAGCAGCCAGGGGGTCATCGAGAAGGAATCCCTGGGACCTCTGCTCCTTGAGGTGGGGCCTGGAATCCCCCAAATCCCTGAAATCCATGGAAAAACGCTGCCCTGTGGAAAAACTCCGTCATTCCCGGGCTGTTCCGAGGCACAAACCCGGCACATCCCGGATTTTGTGTCCTGGAGCCTTTGGGATTACTCCGGTCTTGGCTCCTTCCTCTTGTTCCTTTGGGGATCCCAATCCATGTTTTAGCTGGAATACACAGATCCAGCCATGTTGAGAGAGGCACAGGGATGTTCTCCAAGCCCATGGGAACATCCGAGACCCCATTCCCGGATTTTCTTCTTGTCCCAAACCCGACTCATCCCTGATTTTGGGGCCCGGCCAAGTCGAAGCCTCTGGGATTGCTCCGGTCTTGACTCGCTCCCCTCCCTCTGTGGCAGATCCCAATCCATGTTTTAGCTGGAATATACCGATCCAGCCGAGTTGAGAGAGGCACAGGGATGTTCTCCAAGCCCGTGGGAACATCCGGGACCCCATTCCCGGCTTTTCTTCCCACCCCAAACCAGGCTCATCCCTGATTTTGGGGCC